TCAACAGTTTCGTCAATCGTCAAGGTTTCGTCAGGTATGTAATTTGACGATACCTTTCATCAATTCAAAAATAATTTTATCAAGCATCTTTAATCTGACTTTCTGCATGTTAGAATATCAAGTGATTGAGTAATATAATTCATGTTTTTGATATCTTCTAGAACTTTTTTGTATGAACTAATTTCATGTTGAATTTCTTTGTAAGTATGAATAACATATATCTTAAATGCTGCTTGGATAAATTTTTTTAATATATTTCGTATTACTTCTGTAAACTCAGATTCTCGAGCATTTGAAAGGTATTTGTGTAAAATCTTTTTTGTAATCTTGTAGTCAATATATCTACTTAATCTATTTTCATCCAGAATATTTATGTTGCTATTGTTGCAAGCAGATAAATGTCAATATACAATCAATAGTAAACAATATAATAAAAATATTTTACCTAGAATTCCTGATATATTCATCAGCGAGATTCTTGAGATTCTTATTAAGAGTGTAACAGAATTCATTGAATATTGATTTAGACTTTTGAGAAGCTGATGGAAGTCATCATCTGCAAGTTTTAAAGTTAGTAATACTGTGGCTACCAACTGGTTGAATGCTATCTGTGACAGATTACGAGTTCAAAGAAAAAGATACTTTAATTCCTCAAGCCATATTCAGAGTCTTGCCTAAATGAATTATAATAGTTTAGTTAATATGCACAATTTTTATTGAATATGCCTATTTCTACCATATGAAAGTTGATTTGATAACTATACCAAATAACTGCAATTATAAAAAAATAATATAGTCGTACGTACCTAGGTTATAACACCTCTTTTTTCTCAATATATTTTTTAACTTTTTGAAGATATAACTAAGGCTTCACTATAACTCAATATATGAAATATATAAAAAAAAATTTATTCTATCTAACATAACCATGATAACAAATAAGACGGGATATAACCCAATAGAGATATAACTCAAGTATGACTGTATATATATTTCATTCCTGGAATTAAATTACATCTCTTAGGAATTTTAGATATTTAAAATAGTTAAAAACAACTTCGATTCTAGTATAATATATGTATGTACCTCTAAAGTTAATTTACTAATTAATTGTTGTTCTTTATTTTGATTTAGTAATAATATCAATTGTTCTCTAATTAGAGGTTTTTTAAGTACAGAAGATTGATTTCAGCTCCTTTGTTTACTTTGATATATCATATTAGCTATAGAAAAAATTTCAGAATAATCTGCAACAAATATTGCAATCTCAAATACTGATACATCTTGACGGAATATATTAACTAGTCCAAGAGCTAAAGTGAAAGTTATAAAAAATTAAGAAATTAATAAATAAAAATATTGTAATTCTTACTAAAAGTAAATGGTTGATTTATTGTATCTAGAAATGTACTCGTCTGGTATAGAGACTGTTCTTTATATAAATCAGAAGTTGATTCAAATTCATAGGTTTGTGAAAAAGAAATAGAATCTGCTGTAAATTGAATCTGTGGTTGATCAAAACATCATTGATAGGTTTTGGATCAAGTGCTTGAGTACTAGTTTCAGAAGTTTGTTGGTTAGGAATATTGTTAACTTCAAATGAGGTGCTACCAACTTCAGAATTAGTTTGGTTGAAGAGGACTAAAGTGCTTCTAGTTGAAGTGCTGCTAGCTTCAGATGGAGATCTACTAATTTCAGGAGTATACTGTCTAGAAAGAATTGAGGTGGTGTTTAACATTTCTCATAATAAAACAGCAGTAGTTGCATCTTGACTTTAAATAGATTTTTTTATTTTAATTTTTTTACATATATTAAATTTGATCATTCGATTATACTTGAATATACCTTTCTTCACTATTAATATGATTAAGTTCATGTTCAATTGAGGTGATGCTAAATGGATTTTTATTTAATTTTTTATATACATTAGTTAAAATACGTACTAAAACCTATAACCTTTCAAGACTATGCACATGTTATAGATCATTATAAATATTGATGTCTATTAATGCTGAGCTTATACGTATAATATATGCAGTAATTTCAAAATATTAAAATCGCTTCTTAGTATTAATTAATAATTGAATTAATTGAATGGTCATATAAATTGTCTTACATAACTTGTCGAATGACAATTCGAATACCACTATTAAGTATCACTTTATGGACATTTCTGTAAAGTTATATGATAATGCTAAATAGTGGCATTTGAATTATCATTCTACAAGTTAAATTTATTAGTTTTGATTAGAATTTTTGGTTGTAAGCTATGAATAAATTAAAATAAAAGAATAAATACAGCTAGTATAATGATCATAGTAGCAATATATATCTAGAATTTGTGTTAAAGAATATCATGCCAACTTTAAATCTGACAATAATCAAATACAAAGAAATAGTTAAGAATATATAAAGTAATGTTGTTAGACAAAACTGGTTTTGCACTAACAAAAGTTAAAGCTAGGTTTTGTCTTTTGTCAAACCATTTTTAAAATGACAAAAGGTAACAAAATTGACAAAGGTAACAAAATTGATAAAAGATAACAAAATAACAAAAAATAAAAAAAATAATAAATAAAATTAATAAAATTAAAATATATTTATTTCTATAAATATAAATTAATATAAATTTAATAATATATAGCTTTGATTATTATAAAATAAATATCTAATATTACTTATAATTATAAATATATTATATAATATTAATTGTATAGACGCAAATCATTAACTCTTTCCGACAATCACTTGTACCAAATCTCTACAGTACAAAACTGTCTATTACTCGATAT